ATGAAATTGACCAATTCCAATTCCTTGAAAAACACAAACCAAAATTTACCTAAGATAAAATAGATATTCTGAATAATCCTCTGAGTATTAAAGAATTTGAATTGTACTTAGAAACCTTTTGTGGTGGGGTATAAAAGGTCCAGGCCCAGGTGATTTCCTTGGTGAATTCTACTATATGTTTAAAGAGGAAATAACACCAATTCACACAATGTTCCAGAAGGTAGATGAGTAGGTAATTCTTCCCATCTCATTTTATGAGATGATTATGATCCTAATCCCAATACTCAATGAAAACAGTACAAAAAAAGAAAACTGTCAACCAGTATCTTAGGAACTTACATGTTAACTTTTTAACTTACATGTTAAAATCCTTCACAAAATATTGGTAGACCAAATCCAACCGTATATAAATAAAATTATATACCATGACTAAGTAGGATTTATTCCAGGTGTGCAATGCTGCCTTAAATAAATCAGTGTAGGGGTGCCTGGGTGGCTCAGTCATTAAGTGTCTACCTTCGGCTCGGGTCATGATCTCAGGGTCCTGGGATAGAGCCCCGCATCGAGCTCCCTGCTCCTCGGGGAGCCTGCTTCTCCCTCTCCCACTCTCCCTGCTTGTGTTCCCTCTCTCGCTGTGTCTCTCTGTGTCAAATAAATTTTAAAAATCTTTTTAAAAAATCAGTGTAATCCACCACATCAATGGGTTAAAGAATGAAAATCATATGATCATAACAGTTAATGTATAAAGAGCATTTGGTAGAATCCTATACACATTCATTGGAAAAATTCTCAGCAAGGTAGGAACAGACTGGTAATACCTTAACTTGATATAAAGCATATATAAAATGCAACAGCTAAACTTACACTTCCATTATGAAATACTGAAAGCTTTCCTCCTGAGACTGGGAATAGGGTAATACTATCTGCTCTCACCCCTCCTATTTAATAATCTATCGGGGGTCACATCTAGTACATTAGGCAAGAAAAGGAAATAAAAGACCTAGAGATTAGAATGAAAAAATAAAACTTCCCCTATTTGCAGATTTTATATATATATATATAAATCTCCTTGGATAGAAAATTCCAAGCTATCTACAAAACATCTGTTAGAACTAATAAGTAAATAGGAAGGTTGTAGGATACAAAGTCCACACACAAAAATTAATTATATTCCTAAACAATGAATAACTAGAAACCAAAATTAAAAACATAGTACAATTTACAGTTGCTTCAAAAGTAGTGAGTTGCCGGGTGCCTGGGTGGTTCAGATGGTTAAGCGACTGCCTTTGGCTCAGGTCATGATCCTGGAGTCCCGGGATCGAGTCCCACGTCAGGCTCCCTGCTCAGCAGGGAGTCTGCTTCTCCCTCTGACCCTCTTCCCTCTCGTGCTCTCTATCTCTCATTCTCTCTCTCTCAAATGAATAAGTAAAATCTTTTTTTAAAAAAAATAGTGAGTTGCCTACACATAAATTTAGCAAAATATCTACAGGATCAGTACGTGAAAACTATAAAACACTGATATAGGATATCAAACAAGATATAAAGAAATGGAGATACATACTGTATACTGTGTTCATGGATTGGAAGCCTCAGTAAAAATGTCACTTCTCAAGTCTCCCTACAGGTATCATGAAATTCATTTAAAAATTCCAGCAGGATTTTTTTTTTTTATAGCCACAGACTGTACGATTCTAAGTTTATATTAAAAAGCAAAAAAAAAAAAAAAAGCTGTGCCTGGGTGGCTCAGTCCTTAAACATCTGCCTTCAGCTCAGGTCATGATCCCAGGGTCCTGGGATCGAGCCCTGCATCAGGCTCCCTTCTCCAAGGGAAGCCTGCTTCTCCTCCCACTCCCCCTGCTTGTGTTCCTGCTCTCAGTATTTCTCTCTCTGTCAAATAAATAAAATCTTTAAAAAAATTTTTTAAAGCAAAAAAAAAAAAAAAGCCTAGAATCGTTCATCAATTTTGAAAAAGAAATTACTCAGTTTTGAGTGTTATATAACTATAGTAATCAAAACTGGTATTGGTGACTGGATAAACACCGAGAGAGTCCAGACTGTTCCTTTATAGGTCTGGTTAGCTGATTTTTGACAGTGGAGAGTGGATAGCCTTTCAACAAATGGTTTTGGAGAACTTGGATAGGCATAGGGGAGAAAGCGAAACTCGACCCAGACCTCACACCTTATATAAAAACTGACTCAAAGATGGACCACAGATCTAAAGGTAAAACATAAAACTATAAAACTTTCATAAGAAAATATGACTTACCATCAGGTGAAGATTTTCTGAGATATAGGACTAAAGGTATAATCCAGAAAAAAATTATCAAGTTTGACCTCATAAAAATTTAAAACCTGGTATGCTAAAGATCCTGTTAAGAGGATGGAAAGACAAGTCATAGACTGAGAAGAAGTATTACAGTTCACTTGTTCAACAAAGAACTTGCATACAAAATGTGTTAGGAATCCTCTAAACTCAATAGTAGGAATACCAAAAATCCAAACAGCAAATGGGCAAAGGGTGTGAGGAGACATTCCAGTGAAGAGTTTGTATATGGATAGGAAATATGCAGATGAAGATGTTCATCATTACCAATTAGAAACCCATTCAAGAAATACAGATTATTAGATATAGGTAATATATAGCATAAATATAAATAAAACACCTTGGAGGGATTAAAGACCTAAATGTGAGATCTGAAACCATAAAAATCCGAGAAAAGAGCATAGGCAGTAATTTCTCTGACATTGACCATAGCAACTTCTTTCTAAATACGTCGCCTGAGGCAAGGGAAACCAAAGCAAAAATAAACTATTGGGACTACATCAAAATAAAAAGCTTCCGCACGGTGAAGGAAACAACAAAACTAAAAGGCAACTTACAGAATGGGAGAAGGTATTTGCAAATGACATATCTGATAAAGGGTTAGTATCCAAAATATATAAAGAACTTATAAAACTCAACACTCAGAAAACAAATAATCCAATTAAAAAATGGGCATAAGACGTGAAGAGACATTTTTCCGAAGAAGACATCCAGATGGCCAACAGACACATGAAAAGATGCTCATCATCACTGATCATCAAAGAAATGCAGATCAAAACTATAATGAGATATCACATCATACCTGTTAGAATGGCTAAGATCAACAACACACAACACAAGAAACAATAGGTGTTTGTGAGGATGTGGAGAAAAAGGAACACTCAGGCACTGTTGGTGGGAACGCAAACTGTGTGGGACACAGTATGGAGATTCCTCAAAAAATTAAAAATACAATTACTGTACGATCCAGTAGTTCCACTACTGGTTATTTACCCAAAAATATGAAAACACTAATTCAAAAAGATAGAGGCACCCCTATGTTTATTGCAGCACTTACAATAACTAAAATACGGAAGCAACTGAAGTGTCCATGGATAGATGAACGGATAAAGGAGAAGTATTTATATACAATTGATTATTATTCCACCATAATAAGCATGAAATTTTGCCATTTTCAACAACACGTATGGACCTAGAGGATCTAATGCTAAGTGAAAGAAGTCAGAGAAAAACTAATCCCATATGATTTCACTCATGTGTGGAATTTAAGAAACAAAACAAATGGGCAAAGGGGGGAAAAAGTGACAAAGCAAGGAACAGACTCTTTAACTATAGAGAACAAACTGAAGGTTACCAGAGGAGAGGTGGGGGGGGATGGGTGAAATAGGTGATGGGGATTAAGGAGTACACGTGTCATGATGAGCAACAGGTGATTAAAACATTAAAAAAATATTTTGGGGAAATTCAAATTACATAGCTAACAGAATGGCCAACATCAAAAATACATAAGTGAAAAATAGGTTTAAAAAATGTAACCAATAAAGATATCTCTTATATGGACCCATGTGAGAGTGGGAGGTGCTTGAGTTGTAGAGTTTCCTAGAAGAAACAAATTATTTATAACCAGGAAGTAGTTCCATATAAGCATTCTTAGTAAATTGCCTGAAGAGATATCAAATAGGAGGTTCTAAAGCACTAAGGATTCAATAATTTCACTAAATTTTGACCTCCATGCCTTCTTTTATATTAATGATTTTCTTTTCATTAAACTGGGCCTCCCAAATCCTATAAGCTTTGACCTTACAAAACCTGATGGGCATTCACAGGTGAGAGTGGATAAAAAATAACGGAAAGTCTCTGTGAATTCATTTGGTGGCAAAACGCTTGGTAATAAAAAAGATTGCTATTTGTCTCTGACAACCTTGTAAATATGAACCTTAAGCCAGAATATATTTATTATTTATGTACCACCTTATTTGAAAAAGGATGTGAAGTGACATAAATAATTGGTTTAGTACAAGATAAAACCTAGTAAGTAAGTTCATAGAGGCAGTATATCAGTGTTTAAATCTATGGTATGTGGGCTCAGACTTCCTTGGTTTGAATACCAGCTCTTCCCACTTACTAGTTGTTACTTAACCTTTTTGTATCTCGGCATTCTCATCTGTAAAATGGGAATAATAATAGCACCTACTACATAAGAGTTTTTGTGAAAATAATTTATTACACGTAAAGCATTTAGAACAGTACCTGGCACATAGTCTAAGTCCTCAGTAAGTGTTAGCTATCATTACTAGCTCTGAATTGTGAATATTTGAAGAAGATACTGTATTCAGAATCTTCATTTGAAAGTAAACTAAAATATTGTCTTTGCCTAAAGTACTCCTTTGTTTTATTTTAGATGTAGTGAAGAGACCTTATAAGTACCAAAGAACCAATAAATATTAAGAACTAAAAAAAGAAATTTGATGAAAAGCAAACATTATGTTTCTTGAATTTAATTCTCTTCTGTTTCCTGATTTTTTTTTCTAAAATATGTCCTGAATATTTTTTATCGCTGTGTAAACTTCAGAACAACTCATTTCCTATTATTCAAGATCTTAACTTAAGGCTATTGCGTTTGGGGACTTTTCAAAATCTCTTCCTATTAATCATAATTTTCCTTTTCCCTTTATAGGTCACCATTTGCTGCTGTCACAGACTATTCAGTTACAAGGAATAATGTCATACAGCTCTGCTTGGAATTGACAACAATTGTGCAACAGGTATTAGCTGACAACCTTTACTTCTGTTAATTTATTATCTATTTCATATTCTAACAATGCCAAGTATTCTTTTTTACCAATAGTTTATAAGATACTGGTTTGGGAGTTTGTCACTAATGGTTCTAAATAAACCAGATATATCATTTGGGACACTATTCATGTAACCCTATAAATAAGCATTTTATTTACCAGAAGATGTAAAAGTAAACTGAACCTCTAGAGAAATCATTATAAGATGGTAGGTCTGGTAGTCTCACATTTTATTGGGGGATGGTTGTACTGCCTTTCACAAAATGAAATTGCCCCATTTAGATAACAATCTAAGACTTTTGCTCTAAGACACTGTTCTTTATTAGTACAACTCTTAGTTTCACTTACCTGTTGCACACATGACAAAATATAATAGCTTTCAACAGTGATCTATTTACATGTCCTGGTTTTTTACTTTGAATATTATCCAACCCAGGGATCCCCAAGTCAAATGCCTTCAGGAGTGCTGTGGCTAATGTAAATGTTTGAATCAAGTCTAGGATAAGATATGGAGAAACGTTATAGTGGTGAATTGACTAGTACATATTTTACAATATTTAATTAAATGTAATAACAAAACACATTTGAGAAGTCTGAAGCCCACAGTCACCATGCTGCATAAGCCCCCGTGGCAGCTGTTGCCGCTACATTCTCGGGGGCCAGCATTTGTTAACCTATCCATTGATGCAGAAAGAAAGCAGATGAGAAAAAGGAGATTATTGGGGAAGTTGATGATTTAATCTATTCTTCTACTCCCTGTCCTTTATTACCAGGGATAATTATAGGAAGGAGAGTAACTTTGTGACTTTTAATTGTGGAATACTTCAGACGTTCATCAGGATTCTATCATGGCAGTGAGAAGGCAGCTCGTGGTTACTCAGAGACATGCGTGGAGATTGTGAACATTTTTATGAGCTTTGAGATACCCTAATGGTCTCACTGCATGTCTTTGTATTTGATAGCCATAAACTCAAGTTCCGAATTTCAAAAATCTCAACTGGATAATGGGGAAAAGAGTGGCATTTTAGGACAAGGGTCAACAAACTTTTCTTTTTTTTAATTTTATTATGTTATGTTAAGCACCATACATTACATCATTAGTTTTTGATGTAGTGTTCCACCATGATTCACTGTTTGCGTAAACTTTTTGTAAAAGAATCAGATACTAAGTATATAAGGTTTTGTAAGCTACGTAGTGCAGGTTCTCAGGGTCTGTTGCAACTACTCAACTCTGCTGTTGTAGAGCAAACGCAGCCATAGACAATGTGTAAATGGATGGGGGTGGCTATGTGCCTGTAAGACTTTTTTGCAAAAAAAGGCTACAGGTTGATTTTGGCCCATGGGCCATCTTTAGCTGACCTGTGTTCTAGGGCAGTGCTAGACCAGCACAGTCTGTGCATGAGCAGAATTATCATCACATGAAAACCTCTTAAAAATTCAGATACTTGGGATACACCCCGAAAGTACTGTGGGGAGGGCCCAGGAATCTGCATGTTTGCTAGTTTTTCAGGTGATTCTGGTTCTCCTACATTGTTGCAGAGCCCTGGGGTAAAAGCAATAATATAATCTATGGGTTATTTTTCTTGTAGCTCTTTGTTATCAATGACATTTCTTAAAAATGTATTTTCTAAAACCCTATTTCTTTTAAAGGCATTAAACTTAACCAAAGATTTGAGGTGTGGATAACAGATTATTAGTTTCTTCCCTTTTACTATGAGAGAGAAATTCTCTTGATTTAGGGATATATATTATATAGTATTTGTATGATAATCTTGCATAGCCTTTTAATATAGATATGTGCTCAGTAGCAATCTGTATTAAACAATCCTAATAAACCAAGAATTATTAAGTGCTACATGTCCAGATCTGTGATAACTGTATTATATTTGTTATGTAAGCTTTTTATTTACACATGAGAACCAAAACAATTGACATATGGTACAATTAAATGTGAGGATTATTGTCAGTTCTATGAGAATGCAATCCATCTGATATCAACTTGCAAGAGAACTTCATTTCCAAGCGTAATTATGACAGAAAGTGGGTGTTTTTCAGTTCTTGCATCTCCTCCAAACATCTGGACCTAGATAGCCTATTTAAAGTTTGCTTTTGAGTAATTGGACAACTCTGTTGCTTTATAAACCAAGACTGCAAATCTAAATGGCAGTCATGATGTTTTCTTGACAATCTTAAGAAAGAGTACTCAGGTGTATTCATTTTCTCTTAATTAATACAGAACCTTTTCCCATATCCAAAGGGGATCAACAAAGAGACCTTGAAAAAAAGTTAGCTTTACTTAAGTATAGAGTGAGGTCATAAATGGAGAGTTTTCTCTGTTTAGAACTCACAGGTTCCAGAGCATACTTTTGTCATTCCAACCTTCAAATGTTACGTTGAGAAGAATGGCTAAAATGATTTTCAGTGAATTAAGATCTCCTGTAGAGAGATTGTCCAGTGGTGAAAGTGTGGTTTATGTCATATATGACTAACTCCCACCCATTCTGCTATTTTAAGAACCTACCATCCAGGTAACAAGTGGTTCAGCTTTTGTTTCCAGAATGTATGAATACCTACTATTGACAACTACATCACAATAAACGTATGCCATTCTGATATTGCCCTCAGAGGCTTGTTTATGCTCTCAGAACCTTTAACAGCTGCACTGTGTGGCCTGACATTCTCCTTAGGAATTTGTTTTAAGGCATTAATGGGTTTAAGTGTTTCTGTTTACAGGTCAGGAAACATTAGGTAGAGTAGAGAGAGATGCTTTCAGAAGTTGAACTGTATGTACATTCTGACTTGACCACATACAGAATTATTGAAAACCCTCCAAATAATTGAAATACTCCAAATATACTCAGATGTAGAAGAAGCTTCTGTACTCTCCACCCACTGTACACTCTGTTTTAAAGAGGATGCCTTGCCCTTCATAGGACATGTTGCTCTCACATTACCTGTTTCTATTTTTTAAAGTTCAGCAGCTTGTAACATTTGTCACAGTTCTTCTATCTCACTCTCATTTTCCCATCACGTCCTGTTTCATGTGTCACTTTTAAGATGCTTCTGAACAAAAACTTCTGTACCCAGCTGGTTTTGGTTCTTGCCTTGCCCACCCCATCCCAACCTGTTCCTGACCAGATATACTTTAACTAGGTCTTTTCTGTTGTATCTTTTTTTAAAGATTTTATTTATTTATTTGAGTGAGAGAGAGAGAGCACAGGTGCAGACTCCCTGCAGAGCAGGGAGCCCAATGTGGGACTTGATTCGAAGACCCTGGGACCATGACCTGAGCTGAAGGCAGACGCTTAACCTACTGAGCCACTCAGGCACCCCTTTTCTGTTATGCCTTAAAGGAAATGTTAAGATACCAATTTCTCTTAACAAAATACATCTTCATGATTTAATTTACTTATGAGTATAGGATCTATCATTGTCATACTGATCATCCCAAAGCCCAGCTTTGATTTTCTTACTTTTAGCAATTTTCTTCTGATTTTCAAAATGATTACAAACTCCTCTCTTTGGAATTCAAGGGGGTTCCAAGTAGGGTCCTACCATAATTTCAGTTTTATCTTCCAGTACTCCCATATATTTTAATTGTAGCCTAGTGTGTGTGGATGAGTTATTGTTGGTAAAATAGATTTTGTAGTCTCATCTTTTTATGGTGTGGGTGTCCTCAGAATATGCTGCATATATCTTCTTATCTCAGCCTGGTAAAATTATGTTCTGTTCTTTAAGGCCTCTAGGAAGTGCCTTAACTCTTTTCCACAACTCTCTGTACCTTCTTTCTACTTAGACCATTTATATTTAATGTAACTATTTATATGGTTGGGATCAAATATACCACCTTGCAGTTTGTCTTCTATGTTTCCCATTTATTCTTTGTTTTCTTTTTTCTGTGTATGTTTTTATTAATTACTTTTTATTATTCCATTTTATTATTCCATTTCCATTGTTGACTTATTAGCTATAATTCTTTGTTGTGTGGGCAGATGTAGAAATCCCTTGAACTTACTTTACATAGCATTTCACATCTCACCTATGGCAGTTTTATTCTGCTATGAATAATAATTATCTGACTTCCATTAGATTATGAACTCCTTGAAGACAAGAATGGTGTCTTGCTCATTTTCATATATAGTAGATATCCATTACATACCTGTTAAAATAAATTGACCTAAGACCCAATTATCCCCTGTGGCTAGCACATGCTCATTTGTACTCTTCCAAGAAAAAGTTGGAATTAAATGCTTGAATTGTTACTCATTTTATTTCATCTCCTGTAGTTCTGTTTCTGCTAGCTATGTAAAGAACCCTAGAGATAGCCATCACTTTACATCTTAGTTTATTCATGAGTTAAAATAAGAAGATGGATCCTTATAAGCACTTTCCAATGCTAGAATGAAAGTGAACAAAACTTCTGAAACACTATGCAAATATAGAATACTAACAAAACATGTCTTTTAGAGGAAACTTAATTATAAGCATGATATATTACAGTGTTTGTAAATCATCTCTTAAATAATCTATTATTTTTCTACTGTGACATGATGTCATTATCTTTGGTACTGGGTTTTTCTGGGCTCTGGTCTGTTACTGCCTATCGTAACAATAGGAATGAGGTTGATGCATAAAATAATGAAATAAAATAGGTGTTTGTCAGGGCCCCTGGGTGGCTCAGTTGGGCAAGTATCTGCCTCCTGCGCAGGTCATGATCCCAGGGTCCTGGGATCAAGCCCGCATCTGGTTCCCTACTCAGTGGGGAGCCTGCTTCTCCCTCTCCTCCCCACTGGTACTCTCTGTTGTTATCTCTGTCTCTGTCTCTCTCTCTCAAATAAATAAATAAAATCTTTTTAAAAATAGGTGTTTGTTTCTTGATAATGAGACTATGAGGGATTTTATTTCATTTAGACTCTACTTTTCTTTTTATTCCATATTTTCTAAAATGCATTTGAGTTGTCAGAAAAAAA